CTAACCCTAACCCTAACAACTGTTATTGTTAGGGTTAGGGTTAGGTTTAGGGTTAGAATTAGGGTTAGGGTTAGGGTTAGGCGCCCCCATACTGCGCCGCCATACTGGACGTCATAAAGTGTATTTGCACCCTTATAAGTTATACTATAGTTATATCCTTGGGCCGATGTTGTTTAACTTTAACCTGCCAACACTCTAGCCCAAATTAAAGATAAAAATTATGTTTACAAAATTTACCTGACATGCCAGAAAGACCTGATTAACCCTTTTTCCAATCCCTGTCGGCAGTTCATCCGCCAACTCATTGTTAGTGACACTTTTACTAACATCATCATGTAGTCCATGACAAACATTGCGCATGGATCCAACAATGGCAACATTCTCAGATTCTGAGAAAGAAATTTGGGCATCAGTCTGTCCATGAAAACTCATACCTGATAAGTTAATAATTAGGCGGTCAACAATGTCAATAAACACCTAATTGACTTGTTTTATTAAAACACGCAAATGATCACGAACTGATGTAAATGTATTGCGGCGTGAATGCCCACTTGTTTTATTGATTATAGGGTCAGTTCCGGACTTCCGGTTATCTAGTTGCCTAAACCTGAGGCCTAAACCATGCCTAAACATACTACTAAAGTAGTAAAGATTTCAAGGTAAACTAACCTCATACGCTTTTCTCCACAGCTTTCCTCTTCTTACATTCCCTGCCATCTTTTTCAGAACATGAAGTTTGCAGAAAGTCGTATAATTTATCGGGACGTGTGCCGGTGTTGACTGTTGACAGTTCACAGCTGTGTTGTGTGTGTTCTCCGGACCGGACACGAAATTTGTTTTCTCACTTCAGTTTCCGATAGTGTTTTGTAATATATGGTTCGTATATATATGGTTGGATTATAGTTAGTGTTAGGGTTCGGTTACGGTTTAGGGTTAGGGTTAGGGATATAGGTGGTATTCATTTTACATTGTAATGATTGTTGCTTCGAGTAAGTCGAGTGAATGGAGTGCGCTGATTGGCTGTGGTCCGGAACTCAAGTGGGAAAAAAAATTTCGCGGACCGGACCACGGGCCCAGCCTGTCCACACTACAAAGTACAAGTTTAAAGTTACGACAACGGCCGCCCACAACGGCACTTGGAACGTCTCAATAAAAAAAAATAGGCAATGGCTACGCGTCCGGAACCGGTCGCCTAGGCTCCAAGCTACGCATCCGGACATCTAGATACAATAATGTAACCCAAACCCAGGATAGGGTTACAATGCGAGCGTATGGTTTTCTGTGGAGGAAGTTCCGGGAACCCCTGAGTGAATCACTCAGGGCGGTTTGCTGGTGCGTTTTCAGAGACTAGAACTTCCAAACTGGGTTCATTCTAAACATTAACCTTTCTCCGCTATATCCTGGAACTTACTAATACTATGTATCACAATACTCTGTATTAAACTAATATAACCTGTTACAAAAATTCGAAGTGACGAGCGGCAGATATTTTGAGCGACATTTCTGTTGACCTGTGATGTACGCATTCCCAATGCGCATAGCGTTCGTCTAACTTTAACTCCAAGATCGAATGTATCATGGGATGCCTGCTGTCAGTCGTGACGTCATGACGTAGTTAGCCGAACGTTATGGGCATTGGGAATGCGTACGTCACAGGTCAACAAAAATTGCGCTCGAAATATTCGCCGCTCGTCACTTCGAATTTTTGTAGCAGGTTATATTAGTTTAATACAGAGTATTGTGATACATAGTAAGTTTTAGGATAGCGGAGAAAGGTTCGTGTTTAGAATAAACCCAGTTTGGAAGTTCTAGTCTGTGAAAACGCACCAGGAAACCGCCCTGAGTGATTTGCCCTGAACTTCCTTTACTGAAAACCATACGCTCGCGTTGTAACCCTATCCTGGGTTTGGGTTACATTATTGTATCTACCGGACATCCACTCACACAGTGATCGCGTGCACGCATGATTGCGCAACGGGATGCTCTGCTGATTGCCAAAAATATACAATATATGCACTGCTGCCGTCTATCCTTTCATTCGTCCTCTCTCGCTCTCTCTCTCTCACATACCTCTAGCTCTATCTCTCTCTCTCTCTCACACACACCTCTAGCTCTCTCTCTCTCTCTCTCTCTCTCTCTCTCTCTCTCTCTCCTCTCTCTCTCTCATCTCTCTCTCTCTCTCTCCCTTCTCTATCTTCTCTCTCTCTCTCTCTCTCTCTCTCTCTCTCTCTCTCTCTCTCCTCTCTCTCTCTCTTCTCTCTCTCTCTCTCTCTCTTCTCTCTCTCTCTTTCTCTCTCTCTCTCCCTCTCTCTCTCTCTCTCTCTCTCTCTCTTCTCTCTCTCTCCCCCGCTCCTCCCCTCTATCTCTCTCTCTCTCTCTCTCTCTCTCTCTCTCTTCTCTCTCTCTCTCTCTCTCTCTCTCTCTCTCTCTCTCTCTCTTCTCTCTCTCTCTCTCCACGCATACCCAGACACATACACATTCCCTCTCTCTCTCTCTCTCTCTCTCACACACACACACACACACACACACACTCGGCAATCAGCAGAGCGAACCGTTGCGCAATCATGCGTGTACGTGTCGCAAGATCACTGGGTGAGATGGATGTCCGGACGCGTAGCCTAGCAGCTGCTCATCCAGTACCGGTCGCGTAGCCACAGCCAAGAAAATAATGGTAAATAAACACGAAATTTATTTACTACCAAAGGCTTAATGTTTCTCTACTTTTATATTACTCTACTCTCTGCTCGCCTATTATTGCCGATAATTACCCGTAAATGCCGGTCAAATGCTCATCTGCAACACACAAGTACACCGAACGCACGCGCTGTGCACAAACAACATGAATAAGAGAGCACAGGGCGTGCGTGCGGTGTACTTGTGTGTTGCAGATGAGCATTTGACTGGCATTTACGGGTAATTAATGTCAATAATAGGCGAAATAGAGTAGAGAAACATTAAGACTGGTAGTAAATACATTTCGTGTTTATTTACCTTTTTTTTTTTATTGAGACGTTCCAAGTGCCTGTGCACCGGACGGGCAAAAGCAGACCAGTCTTAAGTCTTGTGCAAAAACATACAATTACTATATATGTAGTATCAGAATAACCAAGTACAAAAACACAAAACAGTCAAATAAAGAGGAATAATAGTAATTTATTTGTGCGAAAAGTACTCAAATGGCGGAAACACAATACACATTAGAGTAGACTCGACATTACATGGTTATTCCGCACACTCGGTGTCAGGCTACCTATACCTATGGTACACCGCTAAGATTAAGCAAGTATGAAAACCAAGACAAGGCAAGGGTGTGATTCAGGTACTGATAGTGATAGTATTATACTCTCAGATAGGTCGCATTGATACTGATACTGATAGTATTATACTCTCATGCAGATAGGTCACATTGATACTGATAGTATCAAGAGTGCATAATAGAAGTGCAAGAGTGCATCTCTATTATGCACTCTTGATAGTATTATACTCTCAGATAGGTCACATTGATACTGACAGCGGACCCATTGGCATTGGAGTGATCTGCATTTGTTTGGCCAGATTAGCCGGATTCATTTCAAACAAGATTATTAGTACTTGGGGTTGGATCGAGGATAGTGTGGTATCCCGCAAATGTGTTTTCGCATAGGGGCCTATTTACTAAACTAATCTGGGTTGCTAAACTATATAGGCTTGGGCCCTTGGCCTGGGATTTATCGTACATGTAATTGCTGATCATATGCAGCAGCTGTCTATATGACTGTAAGGAATTTGTATGTATTTTAGGGAATTTTTACTTATGACAAGGTGAGAGCACTGGAGTGATTCATGCGTGCAACATCAACTTGACTCTTCAGCATCCTGATACACTGCGTCGTTAGATGACAGGTCTACCAGACTTAACAAGCTATCAAGCATGACAACCGTGCAAGCTAGTGTACAAGGTATTTGTTATCATATATATATGTATATATATATATATAATCAGGAGTCTATCAATATTGATAGACTCCTGATATAATATATTAGCCCTGATTGGTAAAAGTGTTTGTATTGTAATTTGTCAGTGATTTACTGATATTGTGCACAACACTGTCACAGCACGCGCACGGCACCCATGCTATTGCAGTACTCCATCTAATGTGGAGTGATGGAATACAGAGGAAGAGAAGGTGTTAGAGTTGCTGCACACACAATTTCGTACACTTCAGCATGTACAGCATTACTTAGCACATGTACTGTATTGTTCGTTTACTTTTAAGAGTGGCTATAGGTCCCTATTTTGAAGACGTTTGCAACATATGACAGATATGTTACTGTATTGAATAATTCTGTTTGTGATAACAGCGCATAAATGATAATAATTATGATCTATATGTCATGTTTTACAGGTGAACGTGATTGAGTGGGCATGCACACTCATTTACAACTTGGAGCTATGTTCATAATCCGATCATACATAACTTCATGTTGATACACTACTATTTTCTTTTTTTTTATTAAGATAAAATGCCAACTGTACAATGCATTTACAAACAGTGTTGTCAGATAAAAAAATATTACAATGCACATAAATATGAAGTACAAGTAGATAATACCCTGAACATTAGACACAATATCGAAACTTTGCAAATCCCCACCTTTCATATTGGCCAGTGCTCTGATGGACATGCCTATCTTATAAATATTATTTTAATAAATATATGTCTATAGATTTTTCAGGAAAACAAGTCTTATAAGAAGTCTGGAAGATTCAGGGCAGATTGAGCTACATACATTATGAATATAGCATTGTAGAGCTCAAATTCAAGAGATATGCATCAAACTGTGGAATGTAAGATGCTGTCAGGTTTTAAAAGTGGTTTATTTGTTTTTGCATGTTGAAATCAGTGAGTTTATTTACCTATTGTGTGCCCTAGTATAGTGAGTTTATGTGATTCTACTACGGTCACAAGTTTTTGTAAAATTCTTGTTCTCGGCTGGTCGACTTATTCACTCACACTGCTGTACTAAGGGCCACAAATCTATGGTATGTGCAACCCACCAATTTCAAAGTGCGAAGGACAATAGTTCACTTTTCAGTAATAGGTCGAACATGTCTTCATTGATATGGTTGTAACTAACAGTTCAAACAAGTTCCTTAATATTTTTAAGAAGCAGTAGAAAAGATGGTGAACAGGTCCCAAAATGAGGGAATGGTCGACACAGTCAGTAAGTGATGCTACATTTCGTGCAGCGTTATGTGCTCTGTAGTAGATTTAACAGCTATAATGCAATTAACTGCCAAATATATTAAGGATAATCAGCACAGTTGCAAATACTCTTATCTGGGCTCTTATCCAATAACCAATGAGCAGGTTTTCTGCAGGGTGTAGTCAGAGCAAGAGCAATTAATTGGGGTAATATAGCAAATGATGTTTCACTGAAACGATTCTATTTAGGTTGCTGCTGGCTTACATTCATATCTAATCTGCATGTTACTGCATATTTCAACTCTGCTTGTGTGGTGATTTTGATCTGCAATTAGTTATGGGTAAACAGTGTGGCATATAGCTGCATTGTGGTAATCCTAATTATGTATGCCCGATATTTGCATGGAAGTATTTTTGTGGTGTTTCCCAAGCGTATACACATCATAGAGGCACACCTTATGCTAGTTACCATGATGGTAAATGGCCGAGTGTACACATAGGATATTTTTTGAATAGCTAGCTGGCATACCTAAGGTTTGACATCTCTAGAATTAGTAACCTATCTGTTTCTACTTTAGTTGGGTTAAGTAGTCAGGGTAAATTGCTTTGTTCCAACAACACTAATAGCTAAGGCAGGACTTGACCTCTACCTCACCTCAAGATGCATTCTGTACTGCCTCCTTCAATCTGGATGGTGTGTCACATCTTTTTGCATGTAAAATTATGCTAGTTTGCTTGCAAAGTGCTTTTTCTGTATATGATTTATTGTTTTAACACTGGCAATGCAGGATTACATTTATTAGTTTGGCTATTTTCATTTGATTAGGTTGGTTTAATATTTTCTTACTAATGGCTTTTACTTTTCTCCGTGTTCTATAAATGTCACTTTTCACTGCACAGTTACAGCAAAATTAAGTTATCTTATGATGTAAGTATATAAATCAGGCAGTATGTGATATACGACGTATAATGATTTAAACTGGCAAATAATGCAGTAAATAAGGCAGAGCTAAATGCATTAATGCAGAAATTGTGCCACCCGTGCTATTAACGGATGCAGTCATCGCTGCGACAGATAACTTGATGATGCAGATCTCAATAAATATCAGTAGAGAACATTGCATCATGCAATTGCGTTATGCATGATCGATTTCTGTTGTAGTGTCAAGCGCAACGCCGGGTAGTTCCACCAGCTCCTCACCCAATGAAGAGACGAATCTTACAGTAGGATTACATCGGCACCTGTCGAGGAAACCCGAAACATATTTTGATGAGAAAGTCCCCATACCCGATGCGGAAAGCGTAAGCATCCAGTACAAGTGCAATATATACCACAATTCCATCTATAATTTCTCGTACAATTTTTTATTTTGAATTGGTCGGTAATTAACACAAATTTTAGTAGTAATAGGTGAAAGTGCTTATCTTGCTACAATCCATGCTATGATGTTTCAGACTAAGTTTAGTTTCCGGAAGCTTTGGGCCTTTACTGGACCGGGATTCCTGATGAGCATAGCTTACCTGGATCCAGGAAACATTGAGTCGGATCTGCGCTCTGGATCTGTTGCACAGTTTAAGGTATTACTATACACATGCACACTAACACACAGTGTGCTAGTTACAAAACGAAGAAAGTGAGAAATAGATACCATTTTGAATGGTGGACAGAATTCTGCTGGAAAAAAATGCCACATTGTTCAACATTCTCACATCGCTGATTTGCACCTTTCCCTACAACTTCATAGTTCAAAATAAGAAGTTTCCTCTGAGTGTGGATGATGTTTAGTGGGCTGAGGGCACTTTTGTTTGCATCATGTTATCATACAGTTAAGTACAGTCCTAACTCTATGATGATCCTAACATCCAACCCTCGGATGTCTTCCAGGTGGAAGTATTATTTGTAATCAGGGTTTGTGTTGTTTGTGTAGCTGCTATGGGTGCTGCTGTCAGCTCACATAGTGGGGCTGGTCCTGCAGCGGCTATCCGCTCGGCTGGGCACGGTCACTGGAATGCATCTTGCAGAGGTCTGCAACAGGGAGTACCCAAAGTTGCCGCGAATAATACTGTGGATAATGGTAGAGATCGCAATCATTGGCTCTGACATGCAAGAGGTGATTGGCACGGCCATCGCCCTGTTTCTGCTGTCTAGTGGAAAGTAAGTATTGCTGCTATTGGGAGTATATCCTGTATACCCTCTCTAGACTATGTGCCCACCACGTTATCATTTTCATAAAGCTTTAACAAGCTCTAGCAATTTTATCAGCAAGGGATATGGAAATCATTTACTTGTTGGATGTGTTAGTGACTTTCCCATGACTGTCATATAAAGTGACGTACATAGTCAGTCTCCAGCTATCTAATGGATGAAGTGATTCAATCATTAATGTAGACAGTGTGACTACCTCCTGGTGCTCACTAGTTTTTATTTATTAGTTTGGCCTGCTGTGAAAATTTCTTGCTGTGAAAGTCATAGTGAAAAGAGTGAAGCTATTTGTTAGACAATCGTCTCTGAGTAGTTGTAATGTTGCAGGATACCACTGTATGGAGGAGTTATTATAACCATCCTTGATACCTTCACGTTTCTTCTGTTAGACAAGTATGGCTTGCGGAAACTAGAGGCATTTTTTGGATTTCTCATCATAACTATGGCTATAACATTTGGATATGAGGTATTGTACTAATATACATGATCATTAATTCACCTGAATCTTCTAACAAACAAATGAGAAAAATAATGATAAAATAATGATAATAAAATGAAAAATAAAATCCTGTGTCACCTTACTTGTCAATGCTGGACTTGACTTTTGCAGTATGTCATCAGTGCACCAGACCAAAAAGCTGTCCTAGCAGGATTATTTATTCCGTACTGCAAGGATTGCAATTACAATGCGCTGCTGCAGGCTGTAGGCATAGTCGGGGCAGTCATTATGCCTCATAACCTCTACCTACACTCCGCTCTCGTTAAGGTAAGCTGCATCGCAGCTATTCTCATTCTCAGCTACAATTCAGACAAGCTACTATCATTGTTTGAAAGTGAGAAACTGCAATTTTAAGTGGTGGTATCTTCAGAATTGGGTTAATGATCAAACTATTAAAATAGTAATGTTACAGAAGCTCATAACTAGCATGACTTGCATGTTTTGTTGCAGTCTAGAGATGTGGATCGGAGCAAGCACGAGGAGGTCAAACAAGCGAACATGTACTTTTTCATCGAAGCTACGATTGCTCTATTCTGCTCATTCCTCATCAACCTCTTTGTTGTCTCGGTCTTTGCACAGGGATTATATGCGAAAACCAACATTGAAATAGTAAGTGTATAGGAGAATTACAATTGCAAATCTAAAAATTATATTAACATTGGTTTCCTTCTACTGTAGCAACCTGTCTCTTCGCTATCGAATATATATTATTTGCTAAACTTGTATTGTGTTATATCTTGTCTTATTATAGTGTATTCTTTTCTAAACCGATTTTCATGTTTGTATGCTCCTTTCTTTCATTTTTTTATCAGCGCAACGTCTGTTTAGCAAACGATGACCAGAACTATCACTTATTTGATAACAGCACGGAACCGGTATCAGCTGATATATACATAGGGGTTGGTATTTCACGTTTTTACATATTTTAAGTCTATTATTAATATACAGTGGATGTTTATAATTTATTATTGTTAGAATTACATCTCCCTTTATGTTTGATCAAAGTAGTTTCATTTATTAAGTAAATTTATGACTGAAATTATATCCGTCGAAATTTGATTTCGTATGACAATACTTGTTGATATTTATGAGGGTTTTATGTTCAGTTGGTAACTTTTTGTAGGGAGTGTTTTTAGGTTGCCAGTTTGGAGCAGCTGCGTTGTACATCTGGGGTATTGGTATCCTGGCAGCAGGTCAAAGCTCCACAATGACTGGAACCTACGCTGGGCAATTTGTCATGGAGGCAAGTGGATTGTAGTAAATCGCCATTCAAATTACTGCATTGAATCGTGTTGCCATTTCCGAGGTTTCTCAGAGTGTTGCTTAATGGTATTGAGTTCCTGTCCATATATTTTTGGGGCTGATGTTAAATGCAATTGCTCTGCTTTGCAGGGATTTCTGGACCTTCACTGGGCACGGTGGAAGCGTGTCCTGCTCACTCGTTCCATCGCAATCCTGCCCACTGTGTTTGTAGCCGTATATCGAGAAATCACTGATCTTACCGGAATGAACGACATCCTGAATGTACTGCAGAGTATGCAGCTGCCCTTTGCGCTAATACCTGTGTTGACCTTCACAAGCTCTGCAGCTCTGATGAAGGACTTTAAAAATGGAGTGTATGCATACATTTAGCATTGCTTTCTTTCTCTTTATAACATCACCACGTGACTCCAGGCTATCCACCAATGTTGTCATATTCTTCTGGTTTTATCACATTTCTGATGTTGAGTCTTTTCTTCTACCAACAATTTCCTAGGAATGATTTTTCGTTTTAGATCCAGTGTTTAATGGTCAAATTTTCCAAATTCCCTTTGGAATGATTTCCATACCCAAAGTTTCCATAATGCATGTTGGTGTATTTTAATATTGGTCGTCCACATGTCATGTTGATTGACATTTAAGTGTGCTACAATACTGTACTGCATTCTTGATCATACTATTGTCATTATATTCTTTTTTTTCCTTATTACAGGAGTCTGAAAGCGTTCACAGTGATTTTAGCACTAGTGGTGTTAGGGATAAATGCATTCTTCGTCTTTGTGTACGTGAAGGATGTGTTACCACACAGCTGGCTCACATATGTTCTAGTGACAATTGCTGCACTTCTCTACTTGGTGTTCATAGGTTATCTGGTAAGCAAACTATAGTAAGCCGCTAGAATATCATCGATACACGAAAATGGTTTCTATTATTTTATAGGCTTGACAGATCCTGTTGTCGATTGCTTTTGAACCATTATTACTATTAAACCAGTTGTCATATGTTTCTAACTCACTTATTAATTTCTGCTTGCAGGCACTATTCTTGTTGGTCTCACTTGGAGTCACACGGGTACCGGTAAGTCTAGATTTATCAGACCTAATGTATGATCGGAGTTGAACTTACTGTTTCAACATATTACAATTCTATCAGTTATTGAGATTACATAGACTTACAGAAAGAATATAAGCCTGCATGTAACCACCCGTCTGAACCGCAGAATGTTATTGTTTGGTATGACTATACTTTGGTCCTAATATTGCCATTTTTAATCCAAGATTCACAATTAAATACTTGCTAAATTCAAATTAGTTAGTGTCTTATGAAAATACAATACCTTCATTTGGCACCAAAATTGTATATACAACCTGCATAGTCTCCAATATCATCTTAAAGTGGCACTAAAATGTCATTTTTCTTACTTTTGAAGTGAGTTATTTGATGGCCTTTTCTTCCAGTTCATGTCAACACGTGAGAGGTACAATTTGGAAGATACATTTGGAGTAGCTGAGATTGATTTCTATAATACCCCGGCACCGTCATCTGCCAACCTACCTGTAGATTACCCGACTGGTGTTGCTGACAAAAGTGAGGACTAAAGTGAAGGGCTAGTAGAATAGACAACATAAAACTATGCTGTAAAAATAGGATTCTACCATATACACATGAACAGTAGATTATACCTGGTTAGGAATGATAAAAGATAGGCAATTGCTGAGGCCTACGTGAACTTAGCTTATTTTGACAGATTTCAGCAATTACAAGAGTAATGTTAATTAATGGCCTAGTGGAAATTATTTCTGAAAAAAAAATTATATATTTTTAACTCTTTGGGAATAGGGTGCAAAGAGTGTGATATGTTATTAGAAAAGGGTTGAAATATGATTATGTGTACAGAATCTCTGAGCATGCATAGTTAGTTTATATGCTGTTTATGAAGAATAATGATCTGATGCTTTAGCTAATACCACACTGACAGGCGTTGAACAGTGCTGCGCCCTGGCGTAGCGCCACGGTCAGTCGTATGGTCGTAACAGTTGTAGTCACTAGGCATTATATTAGAAACTGTGACTACGTTTCGTGGGCAAATGTTTGATCGAGCTATAGTATATATGCAAGGGTTGACATTTAAAAAAGCTGCAACTCGTCCAAAATCTACTCTTCCGTAGAAGTTTTTTAAGTTTTAAAATTTAATAGAGGAAGCAGTGATAAAGTATTAGTATTGGAGTTACTCTGAAACAGATGGAAGAAGAATTTGTTTGACAAGCATATTCCATGTAAGGCATAGGGCGAAATAAAATAAAAAAGACTGGCTTATTGACCCTAATCAAGGTGTGACAAATATTAGTCCTATTTAATTTTAACATAAATTGATCAAAATCAGATATTTATAAATGGGGTCTTGTGTTATTATTCTGTACTTAATGCTTTTTTGCATTTAGGTGTTCTTAGATTGTTGGTTGCTTCCTTAATTGGGATCTGTCTGTTGCAAACAATATTGTGTTTCCTGAACTGGGGGGTCACGACTCCAACACACCCATGAAGATTAATTTTGATAAACGAGAAGATTGCTCACGAGACACCTTAACAGTTTTTTCATTAGGATGGCACCATTCTAGTCACCAAGATTCCATTATTTTCAAATTGTTGCGGCTAGGTTATGAATTTTATTTAGCCCACATAAATTAATGAAGTTATGATCTATATCACTGTTTTATAAAGTAATTAATGCCAAAATGTTATAAAAGATGTCTAGTTAAAGGTTTAAATGTTTTGATATTGCTGCTAATTTCATTTGATTTGTGCGTATAAAATGAAATAATGGAGAATGTAATGTTACATATAAATTACTGTTAATAAATGTATATTTTTAAACCTAATTTTATGTACCATGTTATAAATATGTAGTTGTTTTTCTAGTTGGAAACTGTGCTTGGTAAAACTCGCGCATCGTGCACATGACACGTTTATTTATCCCTGTAGACCTGGAGATGTTATGTGTATATCTCGATAGAGTAAGATATGTGTATTTTATACCATGTTCAATTCTAGTTAAGGCAACTGAAATAATTTGTGGTAGGGAGCGGGTCAGGGAGAGGGAAAGAGAGGGACAAGGAAAGAGAACGAGGCAGGGAGATGAAGAGAGAGGCATGAGGGAGAAAGAGAGAAAGTCAGAGGGAAGAGAAAGGCAAAGGGAAAGAGAGAAAGGCAGAGGGAAGAGAAAGGCAAGGGGAAAGAGAGAAAGGCAGAGGGAAAGTAAGAGAGAAAGGCAGGGGGGAAGAGATAAAGACAGGGGGAGACAGTGGAATGCAGGGGAAGAGAAAGAAAGAGAGGAATGCAGGGGAAGGAAAAAGAAATATTTAGAGAGAGAGATAAAAAAGAGATATAGTCTGGAGAGAGAGAAGCAGGCGAGAGAAAAAAAGAGATATAGTCTGGAGAGAGAAATGCGGGAAAGAAAGAAAGCAATGCAGGAGAACGAGAAATGCGGGGAAGCAAAAGAAAGAGAGGTAATGGGAGAGAAAAACCGAGGCAGTAAAGAGAAAGTGATAGAGGAATGAAGAGAGAGAGAGAGACGTAGGAAGAGAGGGAGAGAGAGACGAAGGAAGAGAGGGAGTGAAAGACGAAGGAAGAGAGGGAGAGAGAGACGAAGGAAGAGAGGGAGAGAGAGACGAAGGAAGAGAGGGAGTGAGCGACGAAGGAAGAGAGGGAGAGATACGAAGGAAGAGAGAGACGAAGGAAGAAAGAGAGAGAGAGAGAGAGAGAGAGCGCGATGAAGGAAGAGAGAGAGAAGGAGGGAGATAGAAAGAAAGAGAACGTGTAGATATATACGCTCTCTGTACGTGTTTACGTTAATTTTTATATGTCCCGGGGGATGGCGCGCAATGCGCGTACTGTACTGCTGGTTACGCCAGTTTTGTGTAAACATAAGTACTAGTAGTAGTAGTAGTAGTAGCTGGTAGACAGTCATTATAATACTGATGTAGATACATATTATAGTAGATATCTATGATACTAATAACACAGTATATCTTATATAGAAATTGTGATTAGATTTATGTATATTCATCTGCATATATCAATATCTATGACTGAGCCACCACATTCACGCTACGCCTACAGCACACACATGATGTGGCGTGAGTGCACAGGCACTTGGACCGTTTCAATAATGAAATGATGGTTAATAAATACAACGTGTCAGTACTAGACCTACCAGTACCAGTACTAGTAATACTCTAAGTCTTAATATTTGATTTGACCTAATAACTTCACTTCAACACCGTCCAATACACCGCTGCAACGCACGCCCTTGTGCATGCACAAATACACAGTGATATAGAGTGTGTATCACTGACACAGTCTGTGTATCACTCTATATCACTGTGTATCACTCTGTATCACTCTATATCACTGTGTATTTGTGCATGCACAAGGGCGTGCGCGCTATGTGTTGCAGCGGTGTATTGGACTTGGACGGTGTTGAAGTGAAGTTATTAGGTCAAATCAAACTTAAGACTATTAGTATTACTGGTACTGGTACTGGTAGGTATAGTACTGACAAGTTGTATTTATTAACCATCATTTTATTATTGAAACAATGCCTGTGCGTGAGTGTACTGTGTTACTGCATGTGTAGTAAGGACGGACTTTATCCTGCTGCCAGTGGCAGTGTGACTGATGTGTGCCTATTTATCAAAGTTAGGAGACATGAGACCAGTGCCGGGGCCGTTTGAAGTGCAGTGGGCCGTTCCCGTGGCATAAACATATATCGTGACGTAAATATAATTATGATGTAGCGTTTATAAACTCATGACACTGTATTCATTATTAGACAGCAGCTATATAGTAGATCTCGTATACTTGTTATTAGAGACATCTGCTTAGTAACTCTCTACGGCAGTGGATCATACTACTGAAAATGGATACCATCAGGAAGGGGAAGGTGCAAACAGGTGATGTCTCACACACTGCCACAAACGTTACACCACAGTCTCGCACTCACGGGCGCACGATTCATTTCTATAATTAAAACAGTAGAAAATTTACATAAATTATGCATAGTAGAACCGCTAAAAGAAGTAAAACTAGCACCACAAACATCGAATACCTAAATCAGTAATGGGTAGTTGAAAATGTGAGTGGGGATCGAGTCTTTCACTGCATAAAGAATGGGAAACTATATTTTTTCCCTATCGCATTCGTTTTCACGGAACCAATTTGTCATAATTTTACAAGATTCGACTCTATACTAGTGCATAAGTTTTTATGGCCAAGAATGATTTGCGAATACAGTAAAAACCCTCGTATAAGAACATAGATTTTAAGAACATGTTAGGCTAAAATTTCCCATTTAGACCCCTTTACATAAGAACCTGTTTTAGGCTAAGATTTTAAAGTAGGTTCTTAATTTTCCATGCAGATGAAGACTTAAAAAGAAACACAGGTAAAATAAAAAAGACGAGCTCAACAATATCGATGCAATAACAATGCCAATGCCAATGCTCAACAATAACAATGCCAGCACCCTGGCATTGTTATTGAGGCACAGTACTGCATTATTTAATTACATATACAGTAAAAATCCGCATAAAAGAACACGTCGACTCAGGCTGAAATGCGGTCATAAAATTGCATATACATAAGAACACATTCAGCCTGAAATACATGTATTTGTATTGACATCTCAACCATAAAAAAACAAACATGTGCAACAACTAAACTCTCCATATAACACCTTACACATAACACTACTGTACTGGTAACACATGCATCACAGTCACTAAGCCCGCGCGTAGCGCGGGTTTCAGCTAGTACATATTAAAAGTAGAAACAATTAAGAACCTATTTAAGAACCTTTTGAGCCTAATTTTTCAGTAAGCACCATTTATATAAGAACATGTTGAGGCTAACTTGGAAAAATCTATGTTCTTATACGCGGGTTTTTACTGTATTACAATACAAATACCGTACGGTACCTCAAGTAATTTTCCAGCTGAAATTCTCACATATCCACTATCATGCCAGTTCATTTGTAGGTTTGCTACTATCAGTTAAATCATGTTCTTATTTGAAATACAGTATGCGGAAGTGTCGAGCCAGATAGCATGGGAACCACTCTCACTCATGAACACTTACTTATTGACTGTGGCGTACTGTATGTGCCTGCAACATCAAAGACAGGACCACCAATCCATGACTACTCTGATGCTCCATTTGACTTACGCCATGTTGGTTGGATTCAGAGATATCCGTGAGTTTACTGCCTGACCTATAACCATATTTTCTTCGCTGTCTAGAACTTTGAAATATATTGTTGGAGCCTCGATGTTAGTGAATATATGTGTAATTAATGAGTTGGGGACTTTCCATATATCGATTATTGCATATATACCCCCCTATTTTGACTGACATCTGAAAGATGAGACAACAGAAGAGACTGACATCTGTCATTTTGTCCCCTGTATTTTCCTGATATTTATTGTCATCATCGTGCATGTAAAAGCTGTTGAAATGTGACGGTTTATCATGTGATGATTTCAGGTATAGTCACAAGGGCAACTTACATCTTACAGAATTCGATGTCTGTGTTGAAGAGTTAGAGTACTTTAAGTCAGCAGGTGGCAGCACCATTGTTGATAACACTACACATGGTCTTGGCAGAGACGTTGAACGGCTGCAGCAACTATCAACGCAGACAGGAGTTAACATCGTTGCTGGAGCAGGTATTGCTGGAAAAGTGTGTTGTACCTGTGGTAGGCGTAGCATGACCTATACAGTGGCACTGAGGTCCAAAGTCAAAACACTGTCTGAAATGTGCGTCTATTGTAATGCTGTACGTCTCTACTAGTTTTCAACCATCAATTATAATGGCCATAGAACACAAGATAATGAGTGATTGCTACTCACTCTTAATAATTAACCAGTGGAGTGTTTATTTGCGCTAATATTTTTATTCATAATAATAGGTAATATGCAATGCATGGAAACAGGGTTTCACTTTTGTTCTTCAGGGTTCTATGTAGTCCGAGATTCCTCTGACCAATGCCCACACCGACGATTTTGGTGGATTAGGTGTGGGCATTGGTCAGAGGAATCTCGGACTAGGTTCTATGTTGCATAGCAATAGGGTTTCACCTTTGTTCTTCAGGGTTCTATGTTGCATAGCAATAGGGTTTCACCTTTGTTCTTCAGGGTTCTATGTTGCATAGCAATAGGGTTTTACTTTTTTGCTTCAGGGTTCTATGTAGGTCCAAGTCATCCATTAGACATGAGCACCAGAACAGAGGAACAGCTAATTGATACGATAATTCATGAAGTCGTTGATGGTTGCGATGGGACCAAGGTCAAATGTGGACTTATTGGAGAGATTGGCTGCTCTTGGCCTCTAACTGGTACATAAACACGCTGATACATAAAGTTTTGATGCACATTCCATACTCACTGCTTGTGTAGGTATTACTTTTGCTCATAGGGTCTATGTCCCCCAGGGTACTGCCGGAACGTACCCTGGTCACTATTTGATAGGGTTAGGGTTAGGATTAGGATTAGGTTTAGGGTTAGGGTTAGGGAGTAGGCGTCTCCCTAGACTCGTTAGTGGAGTAGGTGAGGTACAGTCCGGCATATTAGATAGTACCAGGGTACGTTTCGGCAGTACCCTGGTGGACATAGACCCTCTCAGCATTACTTTTCAGGGCAGGAAGCTGTGTAATGGGCTAGCAGCACATACCAAGCTGGGCCAACTGTCTTGTTGGAAGCTAGGTGCATATCATTTGGCTGCATTAATTTCATCAAAAGGAAATTAAGCTTACCACTTTTTGCAGGAAAAATGCACTTATTCCTTTTAAAAATTTCAGGAGAGCATATTTTCATTTCATATCATTAGTTTGTATCAGCACATTTCAGTATACGAAGTTTAGTGGTCATAATTTACCAATTCCGTGTGGACGCATTCCTGCAAGTTTCCATAATGTGAGGTCTCACTGTAAAGTTAACTCATGTCGGCATGACATTTCAGTACATGTCCAGAAATATTGGTAATTGTATTTACATGAGTACTCCAAATGTATATCATCGTGTAGATGTATATGTAAATATGTAAATATGTAATCCAACAGAATAAGAGTAAACTATTCTGTTTGGTTACTTGTTCGAATCCAGTCATCATGTGACACTCATCATTAATAATTAACTGTATTACTTTGATGACTGAGAAGGAAATGAGAAGAAGGTTCTTCGAGCGGCCGCGCAGGCACAAGAACGTCTCGGATGTGCTGTGAACATACATCCGGGGAGAGATGAGAAAGCTCCAGCAGAAATTGTGCGCATACTGCAGGAGGCCGGCTGTGACATATCGAAGACGACAATGTCACACTTGGACAGTAAGTCGTAAACACATGAACATCACGTTATCGTCAGAGAGCTGACAGACAGTTTAGCGCATGTTCGTTTGGTTTGGATATTTGGTCACAAGCAGGCCAAATTGAGTGGACTAGCTGTTCTTTTGGTCAGATAACTGGCTGGATATCACCTGACCCTGCCAGGGAGATAGGTTAAGCATGTAAGTGAAAACTCAGAGCTGGCTGCTGGTCCTGAAAAGACATAGAAAATAGGAAATTATTATGTTTGGTCCTGGAAATTGAGCACATGTCTGTTGTGTCCACCTTTTACCAATGCCCTGGTTAATATCTGAGAGTGCTTGAGGCAAGAGTATCTTCACTAATTGTTGATTGGAAGCTGTAATTTTCTGATATATCGTCTGTTTAACTTTTTTTGTCATTTCTGACATAAAAGTGCCCAAAATTGCAATTTTCTTGAGGAGGATCGACGAGACATTTTTTTGGGTAAACAAGCAGCTATTCTATTGAGTCTAATAACTCAGTTTGCTCAATATTCTACCCGATTTGTGATACGTTCCATGATGTTTTCTCTATCCAATGTTGAAGCTCTAATCACGATGTAAATATTGTCTGCGAAGGAACACTGATGGACTTTGAGACGTGTCTGGAGTTTGCAGCACTCGGCAGCTACTGCGAATGGGATCTGTTTGGCGTAGAAACTTCTTACTACCAGCAAGATAAGCAGAAGGATATGCCGAGTGACGCTGTGCGTATGCGATTCCTCGAGCGCATGATCGCCGAGGGATATGAAGACCGATTGCTCATTTCTCACGACATTCATACAAAATACAGGCTGGTAAGTTCTGTTGCTATCATTGAAATGGGTCCTACGTATCATGGTGGTATTGGTTATGATAGTTTATGAATCCCTAGAACTTGTATACACTCACTATATTGAAGATACTTACAGGGGTTGAATTTACTTTTGTAGGTAAAGGCGAGTATTGCCTTTGCTTTAATCAGAATATTAAGCAACAAAAAGCTTCACCGATGGTAAATGGTAATATATTAAATGATGCCAATCTTCTATTCCTGCATTTAGATGAAGTATGGTGGCCATGGATACTCGCACATCCTAGTAGATATCGTTCCTAGGATGTTACTGAGAGGTGTGACACAAGCGACTATTGACAAGATATTAGTTGATAATCCACGCCGATGGCTAACCTTTATTAGATAAGGAAGATTCGCTGGTTTCTTACTACAGATTTTGCACTAAGAAGCATTTGTGCCCAGTTTTCACTTTCCTCAGTTATAAATACTATCAGGAGTAAACGTGATTATTTTACTCTTGATATCATGAAGGATTTTGTAGTGAAACTGGTTGTGATACATTACATTACGGCGAGCTGTTGTCATTGTTCAATAATGCGATGATTTCGTTGAATGCATCAAATCCAACCAAGATTATAGTGACTACAATTTAAGGCATTAAATAATTATGTAATTGTATTTTGTAGAAGGCATATGTGATATTAATGTAAAATAGATTATGGTTCTTGCACAGTAGAATGATAATTGATAATGTGTAAGTAATTATACCATCCATTATACGTTATACTAGTTATTATAGTGGTTAATGTATATTATCAGGAGGGAATAATAATAGATTATCTTATATCTTAATATTAGATCTATTATTATTCACTCCTGATATTATTTACACCAAACGTGTATATTAATAACCAAAGCCCTATATTACCTCAACTCATTTATTACACTAATTGCTATTCAAAGATATCATATTGTTATACAAATGTAACAGCAATCAAAAGGATTTTTTCCTATAAAATCTGTAACTATGAATACATTATTCTATCTATAAATGTATGTGCACGTGCATGAGTGCATTACATTTGGCAAACTAGAAACATCGATGCCACTATATAGAAAACTATGTATAATGCCATTATGTAGAGTGTTCAAGATAATGATGTTATGTAGTATTATAAGAAATATATTTGAGCAAAATATTTGAATACAATGTTTGCTTTCATTGCTTGTATTGCATGAATATTCACATTTTTATCTACTACTTTGCTCGTGTAAGAGCAAAACCTGCTCCTACATCTGGCTATCACTTTCTTTCTAGTCTCTTCTTGCACAGTTGCAGTTTGCACTTCAACCAAAGGTAACAATGGAAACAATAATTACTTCAGTCATTATAATTCAAACCTCAATTGGAGAGCTTCAGTGGGTAAGTGGCTATGTCACTTATACTGCCCCCTCTCACTCTGAAGGCTGTGAGTTCAAACTCCGGTCAGGCAGTGAAATCTTCTCGAGTTGTAAAAACCAGGCTCTCAACATTAGGGGAGACTGTGAATCTCCCGTGGCTCGGATGACCACGTAAAATGGCGGTCCTGTCATTTTTTTTAATTTTAAATACAGTCAACCTCGCTTAATTCGTATCAGACGGGACCACGGCATTTTCTACGAATTATGTAATCAACGAATTAGACTTAATTCGTATTTTCCACGAATTCTATTTAATCCGTAGAAACCACGAAATAGATAGATAATTCGTGTAAAGAACGATTTATGCATGAAAGTTTTTACAAAGTTATTTGTACATAACAGAACAGCTGGATCGCGCGTTCGCTCGTACACACTTGCCGTATACTACATAATATGCATGCATGTTATACAGAAGCTATGGAAAACAACATGCATTTGTTCTACATGTATAACGATTATTGAAGTTTACGCACATTCTATATTGAGTAAATATTGGTTAAATTTGATTTTACTTCAAACTTGGACAAATACAGTACGTACGGTTCCACTTGCTATCACACAGAACGGAGACACAACGAGCGGTTTATGTACAATTGACCTTGGCAAAAGTTCACTCCCGAATCTCGCGCATGCTCAATGCAACGAACTGGCTTATTGATTTTAGTTGTTGAGGGAGTGGCAGTGTTTATAAATATTCTCAAAGATAAAATGTTGCTTGCATAAACAAACATCCCCTACGAATTACGCATGTCATTTTGAATTTAATAATGTTAATTGAACCAGAGAATTTTGTACGAACTACGAATTACAGAATACGAATTGTACGAATTTACGAATTACAGAATACAAATTATACAATGGAAATTAAAGGGAATAAAGAAGAGAAATATTGGGACCATATGTTTTTGTACGAATTAGTCATTCTACGAATAAAGTGATTACAGATTAAGCGAGGTTGACTGTACTATACTTTGACTTCAAGTGACATGCTCTTGTTTCTATATATATACATAGGTATGCTTCCTTTATTTCTCTCCCTCTGCTCCCCTCCTAATTTTCGCCGATCATATACACCTTCTCATTTGAATTGATACAGCTGCCAGGGATTATGCTTTGCGTGGCCTGTCCTCGTTGTTTCATATATTTGTTCCTAGTGTCACAACTCTGCTCTTTAGTTGCCCAGTTCATCACTATCTGCAACAGCCATTTCCGCATCTGGAGCTGTGAGGTTCACCTCTTTGCTACAATAGTAGTAGCCATTTGTGTCCTTGGGTTTATTCATAGATAGAAGCTGGAGACTTTCCACCTGCTGATTTCCAAATGCCATCTCTTCATATTCCTTAGAATACAATGACTACATGTTAGCATACGTTGCAACTGTTTCTGCCCACTTGTCTAGGATTGAAGCAGCCGCTTGCTAAAACCCGTGTTTCATTACCGGACATACAAACCGAGTATGTAATTATATTGCCCAATTACCTTTTTAAACTATAAATTAAGGGAAAACACCTCTCACTCATATCAATATTAACATTCCTTCTGCTAATTCTGAATTAGCATACGTGATAAAAACATCGCCACCAGCAACCAACTAGTGAAATGATAGTTTTTACTTCACATTAACTCTAGTTTAATTGCGGTACGCAAGTTTAAACCTCAAATGCCGCATCCTATGATCATAGATCTCACCTTGTAGTAACTAGGGTCAACCTTGGAACGTTGGAGATGACGTGCTTTTGACATCTTAAGTATAGTTAAATGGGCAGCAAACGGCTTCTTCTCTGTCCTTAATCCATGTCTCTCCAAATGCTCACGAACTTTCCCTGCAGACACAAGGCAATGATAGCCTGTTTACCACAGATATGCAATACAAAGGGAAAGCAACAAGATAACAGGACGAAAAATGGATTCAGTGGGTCGCAAGTTGTCTTCGCTGAAACGAGAATTTTTACTTCACGATCAGGTGAGTGATATGAGCAGAAGGCATTCATACCTGCTACTAGGCTCAGCCGTGTCAAGCCGTCACCATCTTTGACATGTGCGAAAATAACGGAATTCCCGAAGTGGCCAATTCCATGGAAATCCAACAGCAGAGGAAAAATAGACTGATCGCTGACAAGCTCACTGCTGCATGATTCCATGGCGGTGTGTGCCCTGCAGAAATTCATTAACACATGCAAAATGCCCACTAGCTTTTACTATAGTGCTATAGCTAGACTTCAACGGTCCAATAAAAAAGATTCGTAAAACAAAACGGCCAGTGAAACATTCTCAAGCTGCTATTCTATTGCTGATAATAGCATATACTAAAGGCGCACATATCGCTTTCACTGCTAACAACCTTTTATGATTACAAGAGGACTGAACATAATATGACAGATAGTTACAGTTAAAACTCACCGTTTCAGGTCATCCTCTGCCAAATTCATGACTGCCATTGTCAGATGTAGGGTGGCAGGATGAATGCAGGCAGCTGCTAGCTTAGCATCATGCTCTCGTAGCTTGTCTTGGACCTGCTTCACGGCATCATGCACCTAAAGTAAAATAACTATGAACATGCATGCAACCACCGACCTCATAATCTCAACATCTAACAATCTCATCATGTAACTACTAGTAAATAGCAGTGTTTTCTTCATGCCTTTAATGCATATCTTGTATGACATAATAATAACAATAAATAATAATAATTGCCTAATCAACACACCTTAATTTCCAGCTGTTTACTTTTGACAGTACTTCAAGTAACTGATAGTTTATCTGGTGTAATTGGGGCACTTATGACACGTGTAACTGACTCCAATTGGTGTAACCGCTTCTCGGCCCCCTCCCCCATCCATCCACAAACGAAATGCCTTTTAAAATGTCTAAGGAGAACCCTGGATGGGATTCTTTATGCCCGATATAATCGCTATATCACAACTACACAAGAGATCAATCAGCAGTGGATAGTCAAATGTCATCACAGTTAGCAACGAACCTCTTTGCTAGACACTTGAATAGCAACGAAATAATTAGGCTTTGCTATCTTTTCCTCTCTTGACAACTTCATCTTCTTCTTGTCTCCTACAGTTTTCTTCTCAACTCCAGCTAAATGGAAATACAACGTTATGGGTTATATTAGCAAAACATTCCTTCGCTTTTCATAAAGCAGTTGGGGATTTTGGCATTCCACGATCCATTAAATATAATTTGTTCAACTGACTGTTCACCTTAATCTAAACTAAATAATAACTCGACCTGATAAAACAGGTGCACTTTGGCTGAAGGGGTCGTTGTCGTATCAGGTACTACAGATATGTACCCGAGGTACGTATATGTATACACAAGTGTACCAGACCTGTATCTTCTCAGCATATATGTACCCTGTGTTTACATAAACGTACCTGCCCCTGAGATGGAGATCGAATGAAGACGGTCATGGAGGAGGAGTAGGGGGCAGGAGGAGGAGTAGGGGGCAGGAGGAGGAGGGGAAAGGTGATGGAGTAGGGGGAGGAGGAGGAGGAGGAGGAGGGGAGGAGGGGGAGGAGGAGGAGCGGAGAAGGTGATGGAGATCGAATGAAGAAGGTCATGGAGGAGGAGTAGGGGGCAGGAGGATGAGGAGGAGGAGGAGGAGAAGGGGAGAAGGTGATGGAGTAGAAGGAGGAGGAGGGGGAGCGGAGAAGATTATGGAGATTGAATGAAGATGGTCATGGGGGAAGAGTAGGGGGCAGGAGGAAGAGGAGGAGGAGGAGGAGGAGGAGGAGGAGGAGGAGGGAAGAAGGCGATGGAGTAGGGGGAGGAGGAGGGGAGGAGGAGGAGGAGGAGTGGAGGAGGGGGAGGAGGAGGAGCGGAGAAGGTGATGGAGATCGAATGAAGAAGGTCATGGAGGAGGAGTAGGGGGCAGGAGGAGGAGGAGGAGGAGGAGGAGGAGGGAAGAAGGCGATGGAGTAGGGGGAGGAGGAGGAGGGGAGGAGCGACCTGTCACACGCGCTGCCGCACACACTATATCTTTTAGTACGCTGTCGGACGCTGCCTCCCTAGTGTGCGAGGGGTTCCCTTATCAGACTGTCAGTGTTACACAGGGTGGGCGGCAGCAGCAGCGTCAAACCAGACTAGTTTGCCGCTGGTGAAAGGGTGTGCGGTGTGTGGTGTCGGGTGTGCGTGTGTGTGTGATGTGTGTGTGTGTGTGTGTGATGGCGTGTGCGTGTGGGTGTGTGTGCGGTTGTCGTGTGTGTGTAGTGTGTGTGTGTGTGGTGTGTGTGTGTGTGTGTGTGTGTGTGGTTATGTGATGTGTGTGTGTGTGTGTGGCGTGTGGTGTGTGTGTTTGTGTGTTGCGCGGTTGTGTCGTTGCGGCGATGTGTGCCGATGTGTGTGTGTGTATTATGCGTGTATTGTGTGTATTGTGTGTGTGTGTTGTGTGTGTGGTGTGTTGTGTGTGTTAGTGTTGTGTGAGGGGGAAGGTTGGGGTGAACCTCACTCAGGGGTTGATTCAGGGTACATCCGAGAACGACGCGTGACTGATGAGGGTGGGGAGAGAGAAGGAAGGGGAGGGAAGAGAAAGCTAGTGAGAGAGAGAGAGAAGAGAGAGAGAAGAGCTAAAGGGCTGAAAAAAGAGAGAGAGAGGGGAGGAGAGAGAGAGAGCTAGAGGCGAGAGAGAGGGAGGAAAAAGAGAGAGAGAGAGCCGCGCGAGAGAGGAGAGGACAGAGAGGTGAGGGAGAAGAAGAAAGAGAGAGAGAGAGAGCGAGAGCGAGAGAGCGAGGGCCAGAGAGGTGAGAGAAAGAGAGAGAGAGAGAAGAGAGAGAGCTGAGAGAAGAAGTAGAGAGAGAGAGAAGAGAGAAGAGAGAGCGAGAGAGAGAGAGAGAGGAGAGCAGAAGAGAGAGAGGAGAGCGAGAGAGAGAAAGACAGAGATGAGAAGCCGACAGAGAGGTGAGGGAGAGACGGACATATGAACAGAGAGAAATGGGTGGTGTGTGAGAAATACACACCTCTCAACCCTTATTCTCCCATTCCCGCGAAACGAAAAGACTAAACCCCCTCCCTCCCTTCTTCCCTATTCCCCGCGAAACGAAAAAAACAACACCTCCCCTCTCTCCCTTTTTCTCAGCGACAAAAAGGCAAACACCACCCTCCCCCTTTTCCTCTCCCGCCTCCCCCACTCCCGATCTAAGAAATTTCAGGAGGCTTCGATTCGCAGACAAAGACTTGAGAGATCACTTTTTCGGTACGGACTTTAATTAAGCGTTTATAGAATACATCAGTGCGCGTGTGTTAAATAAGGCAAAACAATCAACACGAAAAAAGATTACATAGTTATATAATAACTCCCTCAAAAAGACACCGACCACACTGGCCACAACTCTAAATGCCCGCGCCCGCGCCAGCATCTAGGTTGTGCGCCGACCCCCGGTGCGCCTCTGTATACATTAGAGACGGAAACAATTGACGGCGAAGGTTATGTTTCGTATGGAATTTTTAACACTTTAAAATGTTCGGTCGACACAAAAATTTAAAACACACCACAGCCGGACAGCGGAGAGCGATGTAAGGGCGAAGTGAGCGAGAAAGAGAGAGGGTCGAGATGACAGAGTAGAGAGGCGAGGAAGAGAGAGAGAAGAGAGAGAAGAGAGAGAGACGAGAAGAGAAGAGAGAGAGAGAGAAGAGAGAGAGGGGTGGAAGGAGAGAGCTCACCCTTCCACCTACGGAAGAAGGGGAGAGGGAGAAATAAGGACGATTTGATTCGTAATGAGATTTTACTTTAAATGTTACAAACGATGTAAAAACA